GGGCCCGAGAATGTGGACTGACGCAACCTACAGCTGCCCTTTTCCCAAGCGCTGGTGTGCCCAGCTGGCCTTCTCACCCAAGGTCCCTGGGCGTGGCCTGGGCTTCGGGGCATAAAAGGGGCCCGCGGCCGGCAGTTCACATCGCCTGCTGCAGCACCATGGCCTTCCTGTGGCTCGTGTCCTGCTTCGCCCTCCTGGGCTCTGCCTTCGGTGAGTGGCGGCGTAGTGACCACGAGGGCCTGAGCGCTGTCTGGGACGCTGGGCCGTGCCAGCCGGAGCACTAAGCCCCTTCCCCACCCTGAGCCTCTGCGCTGACAGGCTGGGTGGGCATGAGGGGACGGTCCTCTGGGGCTCTGTGAGCTCTCACCGCTCGAGCTGGGGGACAGGGAGGACCCTGAGGACAGCAGAGGCCTGTGAGCACAGGATTGTGTGTGAACTCCCCAAGGTCTCTGGGAAGTGCATGGGTTGTTTTTATCTTAGTTTTCTTTTTTGTGTCTCACCTGGTGGGGCCTAGGAAGCCCTCTGGGGTGTCAGGGACAGAGCTCCACCTTCCACATGTGCCTCAACCCCCCCCCCCCCCCACGCTCTCTCCAGCCCAGGGGGCCAGCCTGATGGTTCTTGGAACTCTGGAGTTGCACTCCGCAATGTTCAGAGGCATCCAGAGCTGTCCAGTGCTGCTGGGGAGTCCAGGGCTGCAGGGCTAGAAGCCAGGTGGGCGTGTTTACGGCGAGCACTGGGCCCTTTATCTCCTGGTTCCAGGGACTGGCTTTTGGGGAATTTCTTTTTTCTTTTACTGAGTGTAAAAATATGCAAATATTGTATTTTCGGAGGGGCCTGAAAAGGGAGGAGCAGCTCAGGCCAGGAAGGGGGACAGGGACACAGCTGTGTGGGGGGACCCTCCACTAGGGTTGTGGGTTGAGCTGTTCTGGAGGAAGGTGATAGGGGACACAGAGCAGCCTGGGGGGTGGGGACGGAGGCAGCAGCTGGGTACAGAGGCCCAAGCAGCCCTTCACCACCCCGTGTCCCCCAGGCTGTGGAGTCCCCGCCATCCACCCCGTCCTGAGCGGTCTGTCCAGGATCGTCAATGGTGAGGATGCCATCCCCGGCTCCTGGCCCTGGCAGGTGTCCCTGCAGGTAAGGGGGGTCTGTGCTCAAGGATTTTGGATTTAGGCCATGCTGGGGGGGTGGCTGCTGGTGGGGGTGTCGCTGGAGACCCCAGCGCTGACCCTCCCTCCGTTCCTCCCACAGGACAAAACCGGCTTCCACTTCTGCGGTGGTTCCCTCATCAGTGAGAACTGGGTGGTGACCGCTGCCCACTGTGGTGTGAGGTGAGATTGGAATCCCCGGAAATAGCCTGGGGTTAAGGGGCCCTTCCGTGGTGGGTTAATCCTCTATCAACATTGTACCTGTTCCCTTACTAGGAACACTTAGAGAACTCAGTCCTGCACGGCACCCAGGGTTGCTAGGAAGGGATTGGGCGTGGGCATATTCTTGGGACACTGTCTGGGACCCCATTTTTTTTACATTGCCTATTCTTTTTTTTTTTATTTATTTATTGAATCACCGTGAGAGCAGTTACAAAGCTTTCGGGTCTAAGTCTCGGTCATACAAAGAAACACCCATACCTTCACCAGTACCCATTCTCCACTACCAAAAACCCCAGTATACCCCCATCCCACACCCTCCCCCTACCTGTGGGGCAGATGATTTCCATATTACTCTCTCTCTACTTTTATCACATTCAATATTTTGACACCAAACCCACTATTATTATTTGAGATTTTACCCCAAAACTCAGATCTGCTGAAAAGGCAACAGTAGACAATTTGTGTTCTATTTCTGGTTATGAATAACATGATGTCGCGTGGCTGCAGTAGGGCCACGTGATTTTGAAATTCCGAAAAAAAATTTTTTTTTAAACACCATGAGGTACAGTTGTAGATTTACAATTTTTTGTGCTTGGGTTTAGATTATACAATGATCAAATACCCATCCCTCCACCAGTGCCCATTTTCCACCACCATGGATAATATCCCTCCCACCCCCATCCCTCCCATCCCACCCTGCCTCTGTGGCAGGGCAATCCCTTGTGTTCTCCCTCTCCTTTTGGGTGTTGTGGTCTGCAAAAGAGGCTTTGAGTGGCAAACATGTTCAGTGGGACCACATATTTTGTGGGTACCATAGTTGCTTGTAGATGCTTAGGGCAGTCCTGAGCTGCGTGGAAACTGCTGTCAAGAAGCCCCGCCCTAAGCACCTCCCCATCAGGGCCGACCACGCCTCCAACCCCCCTACTTGGTGCAGTTCTGTCCGTAGCCACGCCCCTTGACGCCCCGCCCCGCGTCCTGGACCACGCCCTTGAACCCCCCCCGTTCAGCGCAGCCCCTCCCTTCTGACCACGCCCCTTCCAGTCCCGCCTATCCGTCGCGACCACGCCCTGGACGACTCTTCTGTGCCGCCCACCTTTTAGCCACGCCCCTCTAAGGCCCCGCCCAGCAGGCACGACCACGCCCACCGCCCCCGGTTCGGCGCAGCCCCTCCCTTCTGACCACGCCCCCTTCGAGGCCCCGCCCCGAGACCCTGAACTCCCCTCCTCTGTGCCCCCCGCCCGCGGCCCGCTCCTCCCTCGGTGCCTGAGCCCCACTTTTCCCGTTTTCTACAGAACCTCCCACCTGGTCGTGGCTGGCGAGTTTGACCAGGGCTCCGATGCCGAGGACATCCAGGTGCTGAAGATCGCCCAGGTTGGTGACCCCGAAATCTCGCAAAGGCCCAGGCTGGGCCCCCTCCCACGCCCTCCTCGGGACCCTCTGCTGGGGCCAGCACGAGGCCGGTAGCAGAGCGCGGGTCGTGCCGCAGCACCCCGCGTCCTGGTCCTGCCCAGCGCTCACCACGCCGCGTGCCCCGCCCCCAGGTCTTCAAGAACCCCAAGTTCAACATATTCACCGTCAACAACGACATCACCCTGCTGAAGCTGGCCACCCCCGCCCGCTTCTCCGAGACCGTGTCCGCCGTGTGCCTGCCCAGCGAGGCCGACAGCTTCCCCGCCGGCTCCGTGTGCGCCACCTCGGGCTGGGGCCTGACCAAGCACAACAGTGAGTGCGGCCGGGCGCGGGCGAGGGGGCGGACGGGCCCCGCGGGCCGGGGGACGCGGCCTCACCCCGCGCTGTCCCCGCAGATGACAACACCCCCGACAAGCTGCAGCAGGCCTCCCTGCCCCTGCTGTCCAACGACGAGTGCAAGAAGTTCTGGGGCAACAAGATCACCGACGTGATGGTGTGCGCCGGCGCCAGCGGCGTCTCCTCCTGCATGGTGCGTCCCCCCGCGCCGCCCCCGCGGGCTCCGGGTGGGGGGGACCCGCCGCGGGCGTTTCTCCGCGCCGCGCCCGGTGCTCCTGCCCGCGTCGGGAGGACTGGCTGCAGCGGGGGCCCCGGGCCCCCCAGCCCCGCCGGCCGTCTGCTTCCCGCACCCAGCTCCCTCTCCTCCCGCAGGGTGACTCCGGCGGCCCCCTGGTCTGCCAGAAGGACGGCGCCTGGACCCTGGTGGGCATCGTGTCCTGGGGCAGCGGCGTGTGCTCCACCTCCACGCCCGGCGTGTACGCCCGCGTCACCGAGCTCATGCCCTGGGTGCGCCAGATCCTGGCCGACAACTAAGGCGGGGCTACCCCTGCTCGCCAGCGCCCTTCTGCGCCTCAAATCTCAATAAACGGACTCAATCCCAAGCCCTGGTGTTGTGTGCGGTGCTGGGTCTGGAGTCTTCCAGATGGCCCACGGGGTGGTGGCTTGGGGAAGCGGCTGGAAGGCCACAGGCTGATGAAGGGTGAGCACAGAGGGCGGCAGCAACCGGTGACAACAGCCCCAGGACTGTGAGGTTCTGCCCCCTCCCCCTGCAGGGTTGCTGCCACATGCGCAGTGTGAGGGCAGCTGGCAGCTGATGGTGGGCTGGAGAAAAGAACCAAGTTCTAATCAGTAAAGGAAAGAGCTGCCCTGGGGATGTGGCAGTGCTAGGGCAGGTGTTCGGTGCTAGGGCAGGTCATCACCAGGGTCAGGTTGCCACCTGGGGCGGCTGAAGGGGTTTCCTCCTGGGACTGCAGCAGGGCAGACTGACCCTGGTGCCAGAGGCCAGGAGGGGCAGAGAGCACCTCAACATGGGCTTATCTCCTTTCCAAGCAAGAGAGTTCCTTTGCAGAACTCTCAATGCCCGATCGCATACACTCCCCCGACCCTGGGTCTCCACTGTCCAGCCCCAATGTTCCTTCTATCTGAGGGCCCCACTGTGGCCTGCAGCCCCTCACCCCCTCAGGCCGTCCCACCTGCTGTTTGGGAGCAGGGGACTGGTGTTGGGGCCAGGGGTCTGCTGTGGGCTTGGTCTAACCCCACACATAACTGTTTGAGGGTGATAAAACATTTGGAGTGATTATACAGCGGTAGGTACTTGCCTTGCAAGTGAGCACCACCAGGGGTGATTCCTAGGTGCAGAGCCAGAAACAGGCCCTGAGCATCGCCAGGTGTCGCCCCAAGCCCCCACCCGCTGTTTCTGTCTGGGCGGGGTAAACAAGTAACTGGAAAAGCTCCACCTGGCCCAGAACAGAATCCTGTTCCGCCCCCTTCCCCCGCTGCTGCTGGACAGCGCCCCTCCAGGGGGGCTGGGGTGGAGGCCTCTGGGCGGGTCAGGAGGGCCCAGCACTGAGGGCCCAACTCCATCCATCTCCATCCCAAGGCCAGCAGGGCCCAGAGCTCTCATTCATGCGGCTGGCGGCCTGCCTGAAAGGACAGTCCCTCCCCCCACGGCCCGAGACTTCATCTCTGCTGATGAAGCTGACCACAGGCTCCAGAACCCCCACGGCTCCCCTTGTCCCAGCTGTTTCCCAGGGCCTGGGGGTTCTCAAAGGACCCTGTTCCCTGCACCCTTGGGCACTGCCCGCAGCCTCCAACTCCTTGGCGTACCCCCAGGACCCCTTCCTGTCTCTCACAGGCCAGAGAAGCAGCTTTTCATTTTTTATTTTATTTAAATGTAGACTATTAGTCAAATGATTGGAAAATCAATAATGAAAAATAGTGTTTAGCAGTCTCTCCTGGTGTAGCGGAGGGTACGCCAGCGCGGTGCCTGCACCTACCTGTCAGGGGCACTCGGTTGCCCCTGTGCAGAGGCAGGCCTGTGTGGGGGTCAGAGCCCTGTGCCCTGCGCCCCCAGGGAGCTGCCAGCTGCCCCCCAGACCTGGTTCCTGGGCTGCGCCCCATCCCGCCACGTCATAAATATGTACAGGTCCACAGCTGGCGGGGCGCCGGGCCATTCCCAAGCCCACGCTCGGCGACTCTGTTCACGCAGCTCAGGCCGCCACGGCCCGCTGCCCCTTCCCCTGTCTCGGGTCACTCCGTGCTCAGGCGGCGGCCAGCTGGCCCAGGACACGGCGGAACTGCTGGGTGCTGTGGCCCAGCTCCCTGACCCTGTCCACCATGTCCTGGGCGGCGGTGGCTGAGGGGTACTGCAGGGCGGCGGCCTTGGTGGTGGCCACGATGCCGCGCAGCAGATCACACAGCAGGTTGCTGTAGTGTGTCACCTGGCTGCGCACGTCGGCCGCCTTGGCCTGCCGTGACAGCGTGTCCCCGATGAACACCAGCTTGTGGGCACTCAGGATGACAAACTTGCTGTGTGCCACGAAGATCTTGGGCGGCTGGTTGGAGGCCACGGCGGAGAAGAAGGCGTCCACCGCGTTGGTCAGCGTGGTCAGGTTGGCCTCGCACTGCTCCAGGTAGAAGAGCAGCAGCTGCCGGTCCGAGGGGCCCAGCCCGCCCGTCCGCCCGGGGGCCAGGGGCTGGGCTGACGTCCAGTTGGCCAGGTCGTGGTCTATGGGCCGTGTCACCTCCTGCTCCAGCCGCTCGAACTGCTTCAGCTGGGGCAGCGGGAGAGCAGAGCAAAGGTCAGGGATCCTTCTAGAAAGCGGGCCCGGGGAACCTTTGACTACAGGGGCCACTGCACACGTGGTGCCCCTTAGCACAGTCCACTCAGCCTCACGAGCTGCTGTGGGCGGCGGCCACCCTGAGGGGACAGGGGTGCCCTGCAGAGATGTCACACCCCAGAAGTGGAGGAAAGGGCGGTGCCCTTTCCATCTGGGTTTGCTCTTGTGTTTGGGCAGGGCTGCTCCCGACCCAGTGTGGGTGTTTGCTCTTGGCGGTGGCCGAGGGTCTGCCCAGGCTCCTGCGTGCTGAGCTGAGTGCGCCCCGGCCCTGTCTTGCACAGGGGTCAGTGTATGTGTGTCCATTTCCACTGTCACCATGGTATTGGGGAGGGGCCTCTTTCCCCCGCCCCAGCAGTGCTCGGTGGGCCGGGCTGGACTCGCCCTACGACTGTACTATCTCTCTGGCCTCAAGTACCTTCATTTTTTTTTTAGTACTTTCACAATCCAAAAAACTTCCTCAGGCTTTTTTGCGGGGGAGGTGGGAGGATGTGGGCCGCCCCTGGCTCTGTCTGGGCTTGAGGGCCACTCCCAGCGGTGCTATGGGGACCGTACCCATATGTGGTGTCAGGGATAGGACTGGGGTAGCGAGAGACAAGGCAGGTGCCCTCCCTCCCGGTCCTGCCTCTCAGGCCCTCCTGATCATAAAAGTTCACCCTTTCTCCAACTCAGAAAATGACGCCAAGGGCTCGTCTGTGAAGGACGGTGCAGCAGCGTCTCCAGGGCGGAGCGCGGGGAGGGAGGAGAGCCAACAGTGCCTCTGTGGCCTGGGGCAGGGCGCGACCCTGGGGCCCTCGCCGGGACCCACCTGCTGCAGCTCCAGCTGGTTCTTCCCCTGCCGCATGATGTTGCCTTTTTCCAGCAGCTCCTTCTGGGTTTTCTCGAATTCTTCCTTCCCCTGGATGGGAGACAGGAGACGGGACTGAGACCCAGGGCCCAGGGGCGTGGCCACCAGGTGGCGCTGCCCGCCGTGCCCAGCGGGGAGAGCAAGGAGGGCCCAGGGCACACTCCCTGGCATGCCAGGAACCTCCGAGCACAGCACAACGGCTGACACTGGTCTTGCTGCTTGTGGCTCGTGGCCGGGGGCCTGGTCTCCCCCCACGACAAGCCAGGACTCCTAGTCCACCTCCCGTGCACCCCACTCGACTCCCTCAATCCACCGCCCCAGCCAGAACGGAGCCGCCAGGTGGGGAACGGGCCAAGTGCAGGTGTGAACAGGGGCGTCCGTGTGGGCGGCGGGCACCCACCTGCAGGTGGACATAGTCGTAATCCTCCATCCAGCCCCCCTCACTGTTCTCATACTGCCCGTCTGGTGAGTCCTGGGAGGTGAACTTGGGGGGCGAGGGCAGGGGCCGGGACTGGATGCTGCTGGCCTTGTCGGGGCCGCTGGCGTGCGGGGGGCCACCCCCCTCAGGCGTGGGCCCGGGGCCCTTGGTCCGTCTGAAGAGCAGCGAGGCGTTGCCGTGGAGGAAGGAGGCCAGCTGCTTGGCGTCCTCGGGCACGGCCCGCGAGCAGGCCACCAGGCGGTCCAGGTCTTCCGGCGTGGGACCCGGGTCGCCCCGGCTGCTCTCTAGGGCCTGGCCGTGGGCCACCAGTGTCTGGTACACGTCCTCCATCTTCTGCAGCTGCCGGCCCAGCTTGGCATGCAGCGTGCGGTCGGGTGTGTGTGCGGCGTTGCCCACTGCGCCACGGGCAAAGTCCAGCAGCTCATGGACGGCGCCCTGGACGGTGGCCACAGCGGCCCTCAAGTCCTGCGTTGGGGGCTCCTGCGGCTCGGGGGCGCCGCGCCAGCCCCCACTGCTCCCCGCTAGGTCCAGGAGGTGGGCCACGGCGGCACTCACAGCCTGCTGCAGCCGGGCCAGCGCCTCCACGGCCACCTCCAGCTCCAGGGGCTCCCGGCCCGGCGCCGCTCCCTCGAGGGACGTGGCTGACTGGCTGCTGCGGGTGCTGCCCGTGCTGGATGCCGACAGCCGCTTGCCCTCTGCCGGGGCCTCGCGCTCGGCCGGTGGTGGCACCGCATACACGCCCTCGGCCGCCCCACGCTCCCGAGGCGTGTCGTAGAGGGCGCCGGGGCCCGGCCGCCTTAGGCCGGGGGGCACGTCATAGAGGTCAGGCGCTGGCGGGGGCACGTCGTACACGTCCTCAGGGGGCGGCGAGTCCGGAGGGGGCGCGGCGAGGACCAGTGGGTGGCGGGCCGGGTCGAAGGGCCTGGCCTTGGAGAAGGCGGGCGGCACATCGTAGGTCTCCTCGCGCACCAGCGGCCCGTCGGGCACGTCCTTGCTCACCGACGGGGGGATGTCGTATACCTGCGTGTGTGTGGGGGGGCGGTCAGGACTGCTGCCATTGCCCAGGGCCCCCCTCCCAGCCCTCCTCGTGCTTTCCCATCCAACGGTTCAGAGCCAACCCCTGGTTATTTTGGGGGGGCGGAGGGGCAGAAGAGATTTTTGGGCCACACCAGGCAGAGTTCTGGGGCTATTTCTGCCTTGGTGCCCAGGAGTGCCCCCTGGCGGTGCTGGAGATCCGACAAGCCCAACAGCACAGCCACTGTCCTGGTTGCGCCGCCCCCAATGAGCTCCTTGGGCCACTGGCGACTGGCCCGCTCAGCCCACTCTGGGGGGCAGGGCAGCCTCCACCCCCAGCCCCCTATGCACTCAGCTCTGCAGCAGGACCTGGCAGGGCTACCCACTTGCTCTTGGGTACCAACACCTGCTTCCTGGACGGTCCTACTCAGGCCTGTGCCCCTTTTCCATATCTCACTGGCCCCCTCCTGCCCTCAAAAGGATTCCAATTGGGATAACAGCGTGGTGGCCTGGTGGAGGGCGGGCGGGGGCACCCACCCGACACGCTCCCGCTCAGCCCTGTGCTCACCGCGTGGTGACTAGACAGGGGCAGACCCTTCTCCACGCTGGGGGGCACGTCGTACACATCCAGGGAGGGGTCCCGGCCATTGGGTCCTTTGACAGCCATAGGGGGCGTGTCATAAACCTGCAGGTGGGAAAGCGGTAGTGAGGCAGGTGCAGGGCCGCCCGGGGCATGGAAAGAGAAGGAAGCCCCCCGAGACCGTAGGCCAGGGCTCGAGAGCCCCCCAACACCTACCTCTTGGCCGTACTGGCTGGGAAGGAGCCCGCGGACGGGGGGCACGTCGTAGATGTCCTGGGGCCCGGGGCCCAGCAGGTGGCGTGGGACGTCGTACTCGTCCTGCTCCGGCTGGGGGGTCTCAAACACGTAGCCTTGACCCACGCGGGTGGGCACCACCACCTGCAGGCACAGGGCCGTCACCCCTGCCCGGTGGCAGCTGCAGGGCCCCCTCCCGACAAGCTCCTCAGAAAAGCGCCCTCAGGGTGACAGTACGGCCAGTGCCAGGAACCCCCTGACCACCTCTTTGGCCCCCACGACCAGGCCGCAGTCTCCTGAGCCCAGCGAGGTGCGAAGGAGCACAGCACAGGGGCACGATCTCAAAAGGGGGTGGAGACAAGGCCCCCTGCATGAGGGTGGGGGACCCCGCGTGCAGTGAGTAGCCACAAGCCCTGGCCCTGGGGACCCCATATGGGGGAGGCTGGGGACTCTCTGGGCCCTGCCCCCACAGGCGGCAGCTCTCCACAGAAAGGTCTTTTGTTCCCTAATCAAAGGGGACATCTGGGGCAGGGTTGACTCACAGGCTCCCTCCCCCGGCTCTGCCAGCCTCCCGGGAGTGGAGGGTCCCAGCAGGGTCTGGCAGGGGTCCCCGCCCACAGCACACACCCCTCGCCTACCCCCCCCATGCCCACCCCCACCCCGTGTGGGGCCCTCGCAGGCGTGCTCCGGCGCAGCCCAGACCAGAGTCTCTTCCAGAGCTATTTTTAGACTCTGGCCCTGCCAAGAGCAGGGCGGGACAGACGTGGCAGGTTGGCTGGCCTGGAGGAGAGGCCCAAGGCTTCTCCAGGCCCCTGAGTGCATCTCAGGGCAGCTGGGGCCCCCCTGGAAGGGAGACCCCTACCAGCACCCTGTGAACAGGCTCAGTGCTAGCCACTGCCCCACGCTCCTGAGGCGGTGACCTGTGGCAGACCCCCAGGGACCAGCCGGGCCTGGGCAGGGCAGGGGAGACAGTCCCCTGGGCGCAAAAATGGTCCCCTGCAAAAGTGAGGCTGAGGCCTCCAGGAGCCCCGGGTGGGAGAAGTGCCCCCCACTCCCAGGGGCCTGAAGGGGGGGGGACGTCCGGAAGCAGGACTGAGCTCGGCTGTGGCATCTGCCGCCTGATGGTGCCAGGTCCCCGAGTGCCCCTTCTCTGTCCCCTCCCTCAGGGCCACCCTGACTTCTCTACCATGAGCCACTCCCCCCCATCACATCTGCGATGCCAGCAGCAGCCGCCCCATAGTCCGGAGGGAGAGGCCCCATCCCCACCCTTTGACGTGGCAGCGCCCCTGGGCACTGTGGGCACCTGGACACGCCCCCGCAGGGAGGCCACGGCCTCGAGGTGGCCTTCACAGGAGAGAAGAGTGAGTGACCCCAGACAACGCCCCCACCCCCACTCCTGGACACGCAGAGGCGGGGAAGGCGGACAGAGAGGGCCCGGGGCGCCCCCCGCCGCCCGTCACCTGGTCGCACATTCCCAGGGCAAACAGGCCTGGCAACGAGCCTCTCGGGGAGGGCGGCCGGGCCCAGCACACACCCTCCTTCTGCCATCAGCCCGGTCAGCGCCCAGCAGCTGGTTCAAGCAGGGAACGGGTGCTAGGGGCCCCGAAGCCTCAGAGTGATCAAGCCCCGACGCTCCCCGTGACGCCCTCACACACGCAGGACAAGCGGCCTGCAGAGGGGACGGGGCAGGGGCTTCCTCAGGCCGTGAGAGTCTGGGCTGGACGAGTGTGAGTGAATGAGGAGTGAGGAGGGAGTGTGTGAGAGTGAATGTGTGGGAGTGTCTGAGGAGTGAGTGAGGAATGAGGGAGTGAGGAGAGGAGCGAGAAGGGGGTGAGGCGGGCGAGAAGTGAGGAGTATGAGGCAGCGTGTGAGGAGTACGAGTAAAAGAGTGTGTGTGAGTGTGAGAAGTGAGAGGTGACTGTGTGAGTGTGTGAGCGTGTGAGGATTCAGTGGGGCGAATGTGTGGAGAGTGAGGGAGGAGCAAGAAGTGAGGATTGCGTGTGTGAGAAGTGTGTGAGGAATGTATGAGGAGTGAGTGTGAGGAGTGAGTGTGTGTGAGGAGTGACGAGTGTGTGAGGAGTGAGAAATGAGAATGAGTGAGGAGTGAATACGTGAGGAGAGGAGTGAGTGTGTGAGGAGTGTGTGAGGAGTGGGAATGAGTGAGGAGAGCATGCCCATGGGCGACAAGCACAGTGCATGCGTGTGCACGCAGGTCTGAGATGTGGGAGTGAGCCCACGTGGCTGAGCGTGAGGAACTGTGTGCACTGGGGGGTCCTGGACGCGTGCAGGTGTGTGAGACTGTCGGTGTGCAGGGAAGGTGTGCACACGGGTACACAGTGCCAGACACGGCCCCAGCTGGCCCTGGTCTGGTCCTCCCCTGCCGTCTCGGGCAAGGCCAGCGGGCAGTCTCACCTTGGCCGGTGGCTTCGTCCCTTCCCAGCCGCGCGCGTCCATGGACGGGGGCACCTGGTAGATGTCGTGGCCCATCCCGGCAGCGGGGGGCACCTGGTAGATGTCCTGGGCGGGGCTGCCGGGCCCCGGGGGCACCTGGTACAGGTCCGGCGCGGGGTGATGCGCCTGCGGCTTCGAGAAGGGGGCCGAGTGCTTGGCGGGGGGCGACTGGAACTGGGGGCCGGCGCCCGGGGGCTGGTAGTGGGCCTTGCCGGGGGTGGGCACCAGGTACACGCCGTCGGGCGGCGGCGGGTAGGCGGCGGGTGCTGCGGGCTTCTTGTCCTGCATGCCCAGCAGGATCTTGAGGCGGTTGCCCGGCACGATGCCCTGGCGCCCGTGCAGCGAGCACAGCCACCAGCCGTCCAGGCCCTGCGTGTCCCGCTCCAGCACCGTCATGATGTCGCCCTTGCGGAAGGAGAGCTCGTCCGGGGACTCGGCCACGTTGTCGTACAGGGCCTTGGCCAGCACGTTCTGAGGGGAGAGAGAGAAAACGCTCAGGCGGGCACGAGGGGAGGGTTTGTGCAGTCCCCTAGCAGAGGCCCAGGGGGCAGGGGCACCGACGCTCTATGGGCTGGCGCACCCCTGCCAGCCAGGCCTACATGACCAGACAAGAGGGGAGGGGACACCCGGTGACGGGCGGGCACAGCGAGGGAACCATGCGACAGATGCCAGCCCGGCCACAGCGGGCAGCACGGCCGCCCCTGGAGGGAATGTCCCGCCCTGTGGGGGGCTGGAGAGCCCAAATCACGGGACCCAGGTAAGTCTGGGGCAGGGTGACTCAGAGCTGGGACAAAGCCAGGTCGTCCAAGATTACTCATCAAGTTATGATGACAATCAAAACGCCAGCAGCACTGGGGGGGGGGGGCGTGGGGCGAGGGCAGGAAGTCGGCCTGAAGGAAGAGAATGCCCGGCCTCCGTGAAAGGTGCAGGCCCGTGAAGGGACAGGTCACCTTGGAAGGGACACCAGGGCAGGCAGCGCGGGCGGTGGTGCGCAGCTCGGGCTCACTCCAAGGAGCCCCACGTGGGGACCTGGGGGACTCTGGAGGCAGAGCCAGCCGGCCAGGCAAGGGACGAGAAGCATCAGGTGGGAGGTGCGCACCAGGCCGGACCCAGGACCCTGCCGCCACACGGTCCCCCAGCACAGCCGGGCGTGGTCCCCAAACTAAATCACAAAGGGGTGAGAAGGCACCAAGCCCGGCTGCTGGGGAAGGAAGACCTGCGTCAGCCCACGGGCACAAGAGGGCGACGGGCACCCACCCAGCCGCGTCCAGGGCCACACCAAGACAGTCCCCAGAGCCACCCCCTGCCTCGCAGGAGCCAGTCTGAGAGGGGTCCTGGCACAGGAAGCGGGGGGCTGAGGTGGCAGCGGGTGCAGGTGCCCAGCCTCAGTGGGCGCCCGTGGTTTCAGGTCTCGAGATCCCGCGGGGGTCAGCCTGGGTTCCCCGGCTCCCCCTTTCTTGGGCTCAGCTCTGCCGCTGCCTCCGAGACTCGGGGTCCAAGGAAGCGGCATGAGGTCCACACTGCCTCAGCACAGCCTGGGGGTCTGAGCACCCCCCACCGAGGGACCCCTGCCCAAGGGGGAGGGATGCCCTGGGGGCGAGGTAGCACCAGGACCGCGGGACAGATGAAGGGGCGCTCTCGGGCCCCCCACCCCACCCCCAGGGACAGAGGCCCCAGCTCTTCCCGCGGCCTCCCCCGCTCAGCTGAGCGTTTGTAGGCTGCGGGCCCCTCTGGGCTCCAGGCAGGACTCCAGGCTGCCCTGGTCTGCTGCCCCCCAGGGCTCGGCCCCCAGCCCCTTCTGCCAGGGAGAAGAGCATGTTTCCCAAATATGGTCGGCCACAGCCTGACACGGGGACAACGCCCACCCTCCCCCAGTGACCCCGCAACACAGAGCCGCTCCGCTGGGTCCCCCAGTCCCGGCCCTGGTGACCACAGGAAGTGCCAGCAGAGTGAGTCACAGGAAAATTCCCTGCAGCCGCTGAGGGCTGGGGGGTGGGGGGGCCGGGCTGCCCCCCGGAGGCCCCTCACCTAGGAGGGGGAGGACACAGCCCGGGAGGGCCCGGGGAGCACCGCGGAGGGCGAGGTGGGGTGGGTGGGCTGGCGGGCCCTGGGTACCTGGGGCCGCCCCAGCCCGTCCGGGCGAGCCGGCTGGGAAGAACCGCACAGGCCGGGCACGTGGCAGCGGGCGCCTGGCACCGGGGCTCCTCTCCTGCGTCAGCGGGCGCCCGCCCCCAGGCCGGCCTCCGGGCACTGCTGGCACCGGGCCCTCGGCGAGCAGCACCAGCCGCGGCTTCCTCCCTGCCCCTGACCTTGGGTGAGTCCCTGGCGGCGGGCTCACGGCCGGGCCTGTCGGGAAGGGGCACGTGCTCCAGAGGTCGGACTCTGCCACGGCTCTGCATGAGGACGGGAAGCAGGGTGTGCAGATAACGCGGGACGGTCCCCTGGAGTGAGGCCTCAGGACCCCCGGGGGGGCTGAACAGTTGGTCAGGAGTGGGGCCCTGGGGGGTGCTGGACACTGGCTGGGCTCACTGCAGATCCCTGGGGCCGTGCCCGAGAGAGTACAGGGCTGAGGCTGCCCAGCAGCTGACCCCGGCTCTAGCCCCAGCTCCGCTGCAGTGACTCCCACCCCCATCCCTGCCCTCACAAAAGGGCAGGATAAGCCCAGGAAGGCGAGACCCACACACCGGAGCTCCCCAAGACTAGGCCTGCCCCCGTGGGAAGAGGGCCAGCTGGCAAGGGGCCACACTGCCCACCCGCTGCCAGGCTCGAGTCTGGCCACCCCAAGGACCCCTGCCCACGGTCCTACTCCCCCTCAGAAGAGGACGTGGCATCCCCTGTCCCCCAAAGAGCTGACCGCTGTCCTGATCCTGCCCTAGGCTGTGCGGGGCCTGGACCCCAGCACCCAGCTGGGGAAGCAGGAGGCCTTTGTGAACCCAGAGTGGGCAGAGACCCCCATTTTGAGACCCCTAGGTCATTTGAGTGCCTGGTGGGGCTGGGAAGACAGCACTGCGGGTAGCGCTTTTGCCTTGCACGTGGCTGACCCGGGATCGATCCCCGGGCACCCCACATGCACACCCAAGTACCGCCAGGAGTACAGAGTCCTGAGTACAGAGCCAGGAGGAAGCCCTGAACATTGCTGGGTGTGGCCGCCAAACAAAAACAAGCCCCCCAAAGAACAGCCTGGTGGGCAGGCAGGAGTCTGCCTGGCTAGGCGCTGTGGTGTCGGGGGCTCTCTGGCCAGCGGGGCCTCAGGGTCACAGATCACATCCCGGGGAATCTCTGGCCAAACCCCCGGACTCTGGGGGCTCTGCCTGTCCGGGTGGCTGGGAAGCGACAGAAGCCGCAGGGCCCCAACAACTCAAAGACCTCAAGGACAGTTCCGTGTGCAGCGCCCCCTCTGAGCCCCCTAAAGCCCCTCGTGGGCCCGGGAGGCCCAGCACCACCAGGTGTGGCAAACAACCAAGCAGCCTGAGTGACTGTAGTCCCCTCCGTCTCGCGGGGGAAATAGGCCCCAGCAGCCGCGGGCGGGGGGCTCCTAGTGTCACAGCCAGGGGGCCTCGAGCGAAAACATCACGTGCGCTCTTCCCTTCTTGCCACCCCCCAAGCACACACACGCACACGCATGTTCTTGCACACACACACACACAGATGCACACACTCGCATGCATGCACACGCTAACACACAAACACGTGTACAGGACCATATATGCATGCACATACACAAGCACACACGCGTGCATGCACGCACACCCCCTCCCCCCAGGCCTGAGAGGCAGCGCCTCATACAGCGTCTCCAGCAAACACTACCCAGCTCCCCTGAGGTCCAGCACCATCTCCAACATGGGCCAAGCAATCCTGGGGTCCCAGCGAGCGAGCCCTGGAACAGCCGGGCCAAAAGAAGCTCAAGATGCTCGGCCTCCCCCAGCCTCAGGCCACGCACTCCGCTGGGAAGGCCGCCCTGTGGCCTGCGTCCCACGCTGGGGGGACCACCTCCTTTCCCGACCCCACACCCTTGCCGGGGGTGAGCTCGGACAACCCCCTGGAGGTTCCCAGGGACACCTAAGGGCCACGGTCTGCACAAGTGCTCAGCCCCAGCACCTGCTCGGCAGACTCAGGAGCCCAGCCTGGCTGGACAGCAGCAGAAACAGGCGTGTGTGTATGTGTGTGTGTGGGGGGGCACATTCTTGCCACCTCCACCCACTAACAGGGTATCTATCCCTGGCACTGTCCCTGGGTGGCTGGGCAAAGTGACAGCGGTCCCTCTTCAGGAGATGGCATTTGAGCCCTGACCACACCACATGGGCTGGCTGGGTGGGGGCACCATTTCAGACCCCCACCAAGTCTGTGTAGGCCACCCTAGCTGGGGGACAGTGACAGCCCACTGCTCCCCTGTTCTGGAAGGCTGCAGGAACTGCACCTCTACAAGATTTGCTTTCCACCCTCCATCTGTCTCAGCAGGAGTGGGAAGATGAGGGACTCATGGGGGCATCCCCAGCTCAGAAAGGGGACCCTGACTTCTGGGAAGGCCATGCAGAAGGAGCCGGGGCTGGCACCCCTCCAGCCAATGCCCCGACCCCTGCTTTCCTCCTGAGGTGGACTCAGGCTCCTCCCCAGGAACCCCCACCTTCAAGGCCCCCATGCACGGCCCAGAATCTCTGCCTAGCCCCCCGTTTCCCTCTGAGGTCTACCCCACCCCACAACCCGGAGTGCCCCAGAAGTGCCCCTCCTGCGGGCTGGTCCTGCTGCCCCAGCAACTAGGGGCACCTGGGGGGGGGTGGAGAGAAGAAGCTGAAGAAAAAGCTGAGGGGCGATCTGTCAGAAATAGTGCGGGGAGATCGCTCAGCGGCCCGCGGCCCATCCCTGCACAGCCCCCAAACACCAACAAGCGTCACCCCTGAGTGCCACTGGTTATGGCCCTGAAATAACGACGAGACAATGAATGCCAGGAGACAGAGGGCACAGCCTGGCACCAACCTGGTAGAGCACGGTGGTGCCCAAGAGCTGGAGCTGACCCGTGGGGCAGAGTCAGGAGCTAAGTTCTGGCCCCGCATCTGCCTCTGTGCCCCCAAACGCAGCAGGCTCAGGGGGGCACCAGGGAGATGGCACAGCCACAGCTCTGCCTTGTCCTGCCCCACAGATACCCAGGGCCTTCCCTGCTGCCGCGGGGAGAAGGTGATGGGTTCCAGGGAGGCGGCCAAGCCAGCTCGTCCCTCCCACCCGCACACACCAGCTCTCCTAAACTCCCCAGAAGAAAGGGGTCTCAGGAGGGGGGGTTCCCAGGTGTGTATGTGTGTGGGGGAGCGACACATCTCCTACCCGCAGCCACAGCAGGTCCTAGATGCTTCCTGGGTGTCCGGTGGAGGAAGAAACTTCCTGCCCCCCAAATCCAGAAGGGGGCCACTGGCCTTGCTCTGACAGCGGGAAGGGGCATCTCCCGGGAGCGCCCACTCCCCCGCGTGGGCTGCCCCGCC